TCTCGATTGGCAGATTGAGAAAGTTTGTTGTTGGCCCACTTATTACCTGGTTGGAACGTCAATATTTCTTCATTGTTTTTTGCACAAATATTAGTCATTTCCAAAAAAGTGCGCACACACCCAAATTTCTGCGCACACATACTACAAAAAATTAGAGGGAACATTGATCGGGACTATTATAAACTAACATTTGCGATCAGACCTGCTAGGTGTTTCGGTCTAACTTGTCAATTAAAGATTTCAGACCCCCCCTCCCCCCTCTTCAAAATATTCAGCTACGCCCGTAGGGCCTCACCCTAAATATTGAATGAATCGCCAAAAGATTTTCAGTTTGAAAGATGCATATTTTGCAGGTCGCGGGGCTGGGAATCCATCGATGCTCCAGTTGATTGAAAAGCAGCAAAGAAAAAGAAATATGTAGCAATGTCCACGTGATAGAACCTAAATTGCCTTTTTACTCCAGCTAAGAACCACTCCCAAAGCCTTAAAAAACATAAATACCACTATTAATATAACTCGATATTCAGTGTTTATTCACATTAGTAATTAAAATAATAATTTGTATTTCTATGGATTATTGAGAAAACAAGAGAGCTCCGCACAAATATATGGACACGTTAGACCAGAGCGAATCAGTCCTTACCGGTACCTTTGACGCTACCGGTACCCTCAAAAAAGTTCTGAATTTCCAGTAACAAGAATTTTGCAGAATCAAAACGTACAGCCAGTCATGACACTGACTAAAATCCGTGTTCCCATGGATAAAAAATAATACTGCAAAATTTTAGACGAAATATCAAATTTCTTATACCAACATTTATTTTCACCTCAACAAATGTCAATATTGTTTTTTCATTGTATTCTTATCACAGTCTGACAGTATCAAATCATTTATATTTGTTCCTAATATTTTTCTTGTTAGCTTACAAGCAGTACGGTACCGGTACTGAGATAACGCGTCAGGACACCAATGGTGAATATTTATTTCAACATCCAGCGTGCTAATTTCACTTTATTTATTTACCTGATCGGTGTCCATTGCTATATCGCTTCATAGCACAACCACGTTGTGGTCAGGTCACCTTCAAAATTCCCCAGTTATTCTACAGAACAACATTTCGCTACAGCTAGGTCTATGCAAACGGGAAATCCCCCGTTATTCGCTGCTATTATGGCACATTTAATGCACGGTAATTTTTAGTAATAATATATAACAATTGCAATTAGTTAGCTCTTTAGTAAAATTTATATGGTATCTATTTGTGGAAACTCTTCTCCCCGATCTGTCAAACTAGGTGTTAGAACCTTGGGTGTCGCAGCTCGATAACCAGTTTTGGTTCCCCGCGGCTTCCCTTCCCCAGTAATTTAAATATCATTTTTTCTATATATTTTTGCATGTGTTTTTTGTTTTTTACTGGTTGGAAAAAATAAACTTGACTTGACTTCATAGAATTCACGCAAAATTTTGAAATAAATAAAAGTAATAGCCTTCTAGCGAAAAAATTAATCTTTAACCACTGAAAATTTCAAAGCAATTGGTCCAGTATTCGAAGAGAAAAGCGACTTTTTAAAAACGTGTCAAAGAACAAGAACAACAACATAATATTGAAACGATCGTTATGTCCACTACGTGTCCAAAAACTTGGGTACTCCAGAAATACGTGTACCAAGATGACGGACAACGGAACATAGTATGTGTACCAGGTTAGGCCATACTTTTAGGTACAAATACTACAAAACTCACTTGGTTAGTCCCTGAACTCGTAATAGAACTAAAATAAGGAAAAAGGAATAAAATTTTGGCCTAACCCTAACGTGGTACACATACTACGTTCCAGTGTCCTCATTTCTTGGTACGCATACTTTAGGAGTACGGAAACTTGACTGTAAGCACATACATCTTAATTGTCGTTCTAGCTGCTGTGTTTCTTCAATTGTTTTCGTATTTCATGAGTCCTATTGTCCATCTTGTCGTTATTATTTTGGCTGCAGTACTTTGCGTATACATTTGCTCAAATTTTTTGAATACTTTCTCAAGTAGTGTTGTTACATTTTGACATTCAGTCATTAATGAACAGGGCTAGTTTTCGAGTTGTGATGCAGGAGCGTCGTCGTCGTTAAGCATCTTGTCTGAACAAAACCAACCGTAACGCCCGCCACTTGGAGGTGCAACATCACATTTGTTTGTTTATTATACGGTGAGCGGAGTTGGACATCTAGTAGTAGTAAATATTTACGGTAATACAAACGATTTACACACTTAGTCTTTTACTACCTTATATGACGTTATCGCAAAACAATCGAAGCCATTCTCAGATTGAGAATTCGTTAAGGAATGTATATTATGTAGGCCTAGGGTCACCATATTTTTTCGACTTCAAAGCGGGACGCCACCAAAGACACGACCCCTTAGCTGTGATCCTGTAACTTTACAGTTTCCGATTTGACTACATAGGCCTGCATTTAAAGCCATCCCGGCTCTCTTCATTGATCATATTGTCATCGAGAGTTCATGAGCATACTCTCTGTCCAAATATCGGGTTCAGTTCGAAAAATAGAAAGGAACAGACGCTAACGATACAAATGATCCAAATTAAAATTTTTTGCATGTACAGCAAAAGGAATAAGGAAACAGTCTGTCGTTTTCAAGCATTGAGAATTTATTTATTCGCCCAAGCATGCTTTTCTGTAGATAACACCTTCAAAAAGACGTTGTTCAATGTTACATTCACGTGAACGTCCGAACAGGACCAACTAGATTTGGATTTACATGTGATACGTTCGCTAACAATGTTAGCGGGAAACAACGAAACAAACAAAACAACACATTCACACCTTCAGTAATTATAGTAGCTAGCGTTGCGCTACACAGCAACAACAGTAACGAGAACATGTTCGTGTATTATTTCGGCACAGGCACCGTCACACGACTTCTAATTGTTTTCACCACTTTTGCTCATCAAAATTTATTTACAATTTTACAAGTAAGCTTTGCCCGTGAATTATACTCTCGGGTGTTCATGTACATGCTGTTTATTAATGTTTTCAGTAAAATTACAATGATGTGTTTTCCACTTGTGTGAGGTAAATGTGTGGGTAAATGGGCACAAACGCTTATAGCGTTCGCTATAAATCTTCCTCTAGGTTTTGCCCATTTCCCCGATCTTTTCGTCACCATTGTCTGTGTTTTTTATTTTGTGTTCTGTGTTATCAGGTTGTAGACGAAAGATCAAAATAAAATTGCCCTTTTCCCCGATCTTTTCGTCGCCGTTGTCTGTTTTTTTTTTTTAATTTTGTGTTCTGTGTTATCAGGCTGTAGACGAAAGATCAAAATAAAATTGTATTGTTGTATTGTATTATGCTGGATGTCTGAACGCCAAAGCGGGACTTTTGGCTGACTTGTCGGGACGGCGGGACAAGATGCTAAAAAGCGGGACTGTCCCGCCTAAAGCGGGACGTATGGTAAGCCTATGTAGGCCTATTGTTCGGGTTGTCAATGATTTACGTCCGGAAATAAAAGAAGTGTTTGCAAAAATAGCCTGTCAAAACAGACCATACCTCTTCATGTCGAAGAGCTTGAGAATTGTATAGCGGAAACTTTAATTGCAAAGGCGGGAAAATTTTTATCGTATTACTTGGCGCTTGACGAAAGCACTGACATCAAGGTTACTGCTCAGTTGGCTAATTTGGTGTGCGGGTATAATTTGTTTTTTTGATCAACCTATAGTCAGTGTAGCAAAACTAGAACATAATGCTATGTTAATAGGCCCGCGCAATTATTAGTAAACTACGTGTGGCCCTTCGGCCAAAAAGGTTGAACAACCCTGGTTTATAGCGAACGCTGTAACCAGACCGAATTCACCCAGTGCCAAATTCATCCACACTCACACAAGTGAAAGAAACACATCACGGCAATTTAACTAAAAATCATATACAGCATATTAAAACTCGAGAAAGTAATAATCACGGGCTAAGCTTACTCTTACAGTTTTATCTATATATATATATATATATATATATATACTGGTGAGTAAAAGTGGTGAAGATTGCGAAATAAGTAGAATGAGGGTTATGTGTCGGTACATGTGCCGAAATGCGAATCCTAATAATGACATCTAAGACTAAGTGATTAACATTAGCTGCTGTTTCTCCTATTCTTCGTAAACAAACAAAGCTTGAAAAGTAAACCAACAAATGTAAAAACTCGAAAACTAGTTTCGGGCGTTGCTCTTTGTTTAAAAAAATGGTTCGAATTTAGAAAGTTTTCATATAAAAATTTATAATCTTGAGCATTTTCCAATGATGGTCAGCCATGAAATTAGCTTTTTTTAACCAGTTCCACAAACCAAAATCTCCAGAATGCAGACAGGTCGGCTGATATCCTTAGTAATCTAACATCTCTTTTCGTCGAACGCTTGAGAATCCAGTTGTGAAAATCTTGTCTGATCTTCAGTTCAGATAACTTTTGTTTCTTTATGATTATCACGAACTTTTTCTAAAGATATCACATTCCCAGATAAGTAGATAACAGCCTTTACTATTCTTTTTTTCATCAAGTACATTGAATCAGATCTTTTCCTGTGTCCATTCCATATACCATGTTTCAATTCTGAATATTATTGCCGGTACCACGTAGATTTGCCATCAAAGTTCTAGCTCAGAAAGCATAATAGCACATGAAAGCAGGAAGTCAAGTCTATGAAATTGAACCTTTTAGAAGCGGAGATTATTATTGTGAATCGTTATCGCAGATCAACGGTTACTCAAATGTGAAATGCATTTTCCTTAAAACGCTTACATCAGTGATTTTCAACCAGCGTTACGCGAAATCCTAGGGTTCCGCCACTACAATCCAGGGGTCTATATGATTATGTGTACTATATATTATTCAAATATAATCAAGTACACTGCTTTCATCCTATCGGTACCTTATACACGAGGCGAACAAAATTTTCTTTATATTTTGTTACCGAGTGCATTATTACAAGACTCCTTCCACCAGGGCGGCTTGAATGGAACAACAATAAATAACACAGCAAAATCTCTATCTTCGCGAGTGCGTAATGCGTGTGTAGCCGTTTCGCGGTGGCTTCTCTTCTTACTTGGTTTATAATAATTCGAGCCGCGCGAAATCAATGGTCGACAGAAAAGCAAGTTCACAAACAAGGTATTACTGTAGTGCGTTTTCTAGATTGGTACGGTAGGCTATGGTTTATCGTGCTAAGAGTTAGGAATACCTTACTCGCTGACTCTCGTCATTTTAAACCTTTGCCTACCGGTAACACGTTATGTTGTTTGTTAAAACTGTTGTGGCCGGTTTAATAACTGCCAAACCAATTTTTGTTTTTAAGTCTCATTTTCATTATAAACTACCGTGTTTAATTTGATGGTCAAATCTTCTGATCTTCAAGTGAATTGTACTTGACAAATTCGTGCACTGACATTTTAATGCTATCATGTAGTCTAAATATTATCTCGAAATCGTACCTCTTTTGGTTCTTATTACAATAGTCTAGTTTAACTATGTAACTATTACTGTTTCAAAATTTATTCTTCATTCATTTTAGAAAAAGGCTGGCGAAGGCATTGCAAGATGATTTTTGGGATTGTAGCGTCTGTACCTACAAAAACTCTCCCGAAGCATTTAAATGCTCAGTATGTGATGTTAGGAAAGGTATTCATATACATGCTGACATACATTTCATTTAATTGATGACTTTTAGGATACTTTTTAATCAAAATCTTGCTCTGAGTAGTTCTACATGGAATGTATCAGAGCTTATGTCACTATAAATTATCTTGGGCTAAATACAACATGACATTTGCAGGAACATCAACAAGAAAACCAAGATTGAATCAGCAAATAGTTGCTCAGCAGGAGGCAACAAGATTAGTTACTATAACCCAAGTAAGATATAAAATTGCTTGCCACATGTTGAATTAAATAGTTTTAATCATTTTTTATGGGACCTAAGACAGACATTGCCAAAGCTGAAATTTAATATGAGGTATATTATAAAATGGGTCACATGTGAGATGTTTCTATAAACTGTTTCTATATCTCTCTCTCGCCTTTTTTAGAATGTCCCCAAATAACAAAGTCATTTTATTATTCATATTTTATCAATATATCGTCACATATTGACGCCTGTTTTACTTTACCCATTCAATGCCACTTTTGGTGTGTCCAAAATACCTAGTTTCAAAGGAACCTTTCAAATTCTTATTCCTGAAATGAAGAATTTGCAATATCAAACAACAAATTCCAATTATCCAATTTATTTTAGTCATGCCGCGAAATGCGACTTTACTTAGCTTATTGTAAAGTTCCCCTTTGTCATCAAAAATTCTGTGCTAAAAGATGTACCCAAGAACCTCTGATGTTCTTTTCCTCTTAGATCTTTCTCGGGTAATGTTGAATCGATCATAACCTCTTTCTGACATCTCTATGGGCGGTATAATCTCACCTACAGGTCCTTTTAATAAATCATCAATTGCCACTTGGAACTCTCCTATTCCTAGTCTTTCCACTTGGCGCTTGCCTCCTTGTTATAGCTAACCTGCAGAAAAACAAATATCCTAATTCTGTACCATACTAAAGCTTAAATATTAAATGTACGGTAATTAGAATTGACCAAGTACTTAATCTCAGGTGCCTCAAGCTACTCTTGTCCATCCTGCTAAAAAATTGAAAGAAGAGTCTGACAAGTCTCCAGAGCCATCAGAATATAAGAAACGAAAGAGAAAGAAAAAAGCAAGGTTTGTATTCATTTATCATCAAGGCAAGAAATTGGCGTATTGTTAATCTCTTTCAATAATGAATATTTGAAATGTTTTTTTGTCTGATTAAATTGCATTTTTACAGATGCCATATAAAAGGAATAGACAGAAGCTCTGCGGATACTTATACCATCACAGTAAGAGACAGTAGCATCACTTTTACAGAATTCAAACCGAAAAAATAAACACAGTATAGAATGAAAACATGAGTGAATTGACACTTGGTTCCATTCTCTGATTTTAGATATCATTTTATTTCGTTTTGACAAAAATTAAATACTTCTGGTGTCTAAGTGTTAAAACCTATGGCATATGATTAGGAGCCTGGCATGGAAATAAATTGCTCCAAAAATATTGTTTCAGTATAACTTTCCTGATCATCGCTATTGGGTGCCACATTTTAGCATATTTTTGCTCTTGGACCGAATGCTTTCTACAATCTTTTTGCATGTTGAGATATTTCATATTTATATCTCGTTGCTGTTGTGATCATTGCTTAATGTCAATGGTGAATGGAATGGTTTGTATATTCATAGACCGAACAAGCATTAGTGCAACGAACACTTCATTCCATATGTAAACAAGCCTCCAATTAAATTTGATTATTAGAATGTCAGTGGTGTCATTAGTCTACTGACTGCGTTTTTTTCTTTAATTTTACTTTAAACTCTGTAGGTGGTATTGTCTGTCTGCTTGTTTATTAAATATCAAGCCTAAGGGATTAGCCATATGACATTTTATTTTGAAGGCAATTCAACATTTTGTATATATTTGTGTTACTTCCAAGAGGGCTTAAATATTTGCTAAGGACAGACAGCATGAGCCTGACTTCTGTTTGGATTTTTAACTATCTGTTATATCATGTTACTAATTTTCTTAATAAAACAGTAGCTTTTCATATGCAAATTGGTTTTGTGAGGATTATCAAGTTTTCAGCTATGAGAAATGGTGGCATATGTATGAACAATAAGACACATGGGTGGAGTAACAGAAATCTGCTTTCAGAGCCATAGCCTAAAAACGCTACTCTCAGCATACATTAAAAAGTATATGTCATACTTATTTATTTACACAACACAGATGTCGAAAATCTAGAAGGCAGATTTATATGAAGTATTTTAAAATTCTCTCATTCAGATTCAGCCAGTTGGGCGTCTCATTATACCATGTGCTCACTACCACCTATATCGACCGTAGCACGCATGTGTCTATTTTGGGGATTGAAAGTAGGTTACGTTGCGATTCAAGTGCAGTTTTAAGTATTCTGTGGCGTCTGGCAGGCTGCCCGCAAAACCACATGGCGATATTTCCATACCATGGCCGCTACGACCAAACCTATGGCGACCATTGTGGCGACTGACTTTTTAGCTGCCACAAGCCAATGACGAGCTGCCGTTACCGCGGCAGCAAATTGAAAACCAATGGCAGGTAAAATTTTGATGCCGTTACTGCGGCAGGTGGGCCGTAAAGACAGGGCTGTCCCTTATGGTGACAAATATTGGGTAAGTTGGAACGTTTTTCTTGTGGATACAGTTTTGATGGAGTTAGGGTTTAAGTAGATATAATTCCACATGATCAATTAAAATCTGCCGCTACATTAATTTGTGGAATATACCGTTAATACTGATTAACTGAATGAGCGCTATAAGAACCCATGGCAAGAGCTGCCGCGATTCGTTCGTGGCAGGAGCTGCCATGAAGTGGTGGGAACTGCGCCTCTTGCGATTGGTGCAGATTACCACTGGCACACGTTGTAAAAGTGGTGCAGATCGTACTAAGCGTTAGGAAAACGCTCGACATCACAATCTCTCATGACGCTGCGTAGTTTCGCAGGTTCGAATCCCATGCGGGGTTGATTATGTGCTGAAGGATTGCTGGACTCCTCACCTCCGAAGGGTGGTATGTAACCGCTGGTCGGTTACGACTTCCTCCTACATCAGTCTACGCGTCTGAAAATGGATAACTGGGCCGGCACCCGGGCGGGAGTTTGTTATTTTGCCGGTGACCGTACATTTGCACTCACGTTCATTTGAACCCATACATTTGCACCGGTATATCCGCGAGTTCAATCTATATGCGGGTGCTAAAATCCATGGGTTAGGGTTAGTATGCGTTCAAATACCCGTAAAAAAAATTTCCATAGGTACAATAGTATGCAGGGCAATTGTCGTGAGTTCAACAAATTATGGGTGCAAATGTAAGAGAGAGAGATATTTATTGCCACAAAAACAACACTAATATAAACATAATACAATAACGAAAATAATTAACAGTAATTGATTATTGCTTTGTGCGGGTCGGTGTGCAAGACCGATTAAAGTCATCTAGGCTCCCGACCCTTGTGTATGTGCTATATATATATAGTTCATCATAGGTGGATACAAATGAGATTAAATATAAATATATATATAAAATATAAATAGGAGGAAAAAAGGAAACGAGTCGGCAATTTAATGGTATTATGGAAGTTATTAAGGGCAATTTAGGATTTAGAGAGGTCATGTGTTGGTTGAAGCCGGACATGTCCAATGGAAAATTTTTCACGAAAAGCATATTTTTTGTTATTGGACACAGACCGGGATCAAAAATGAATACCAAGGACGATAAAAATAAAATTATCACAGATTCAGTAAAAAACCGAGTGCATGATGTAAAAATATCATTACTTGTCGATCTTGTTTATCGATCTTTGTCTATTTGTCTGTCTGTTATATGCAAGCGATATCTCAAGAAAGCGGGGTTTAATCTCCATCCAATTTTGCATGTGCGTTCATCATATCACGGACCAGATGGCTATTGATTTTGGTCGAGTTATGTCGTATAATTAGGGAGCTATTAATTAATTGGTGTTTGGACACCCGGGTACTTATAGAGTCATGAATCGAAACCGCAGTTTTGATCGATAAGTCTTTGGTCTCCCACCGATATTCTCGTTTGACACCTTAATTAGTTCACGAAAAGAATACAGGGAAAAAAATTGTAATTGTAAATTGTAATGTAAAATGTAATGGAATCTATTTGTCATATCATTGATCCGTCTTATTGGTTTTCGTCTCCCACGAGATAATATGAAACCTCCTATCTACATGTTCGTTTCCCGCCAATGTTCCTGGACTGAATAAATGTTCGCCAATAATTAATTACATCATTGTTTATTTATTCAATTGGACCTCTACCCGACCTTTGACCCCCGGGAAATTCTTCTTATACTTTACCATTGTAAAATTTTCGTTGCTTATTTTGAGAATAGTTTCGCGAGTTGGCGCCTGTAAAATGGGGTATTTGTTTCAAACCATCTTTCTGATTCATAGCATTCAACAATCTGATTTCTAAGAGTTCCCGTAAAGATTTTTGGCCTAGTGTATCACAGCTATTTCTACACTACTTTTTTATTACTGCACCTAAACTGAAACTTCTTGGAAGACAAAGTGATCATTGAATTATTGGATTTATATTCAAATGTCCGAAACACAACTGAAAACTAACGAACATAATTCAAAAATGCGTAAACGAGGCATTGTTTACGACCACGCTTGAAAATCTGTTCTGAGTGAGAAAAGTGTCTGAGCGAATGCGTTGTTACGTCTCTTTTTGCATCTTGCTGATTGGCCAATGTCACGAGGTAATTAAGGGAATCGATGCTTGGGGAAATATCCATCGGGCTAAGAAAATGTCCTTTCATATTTGATATTCCCACTCGTACTTTAATTTAATAATTAATCTTGTTTTATCGAAATCCGTGCATCCACTCCGATTGTGTATATGGTATGAACGTTTAATTTAAATCAACGGTGCACAACCTGCGGCCGTACGGCCGTCGTGAAATAAAAAAGCGGGCGTCCACATACAAAATCCTATGAACAAAACAAAAAAAAGCTCAAAATATAGGATTTGGCGGCTATGCTGGCGTATATTTCAAAATTATGCAACCTTTATGCAACTTGCTGCAATATATCTGCTCAAGAATAGGTCCACCGAAACGAAAAATCCGTTTAAAATGCGAATATTATACTTCCAAGTAGTCCTAAATACTTTATAATTGAGCAGACCGCATTTCGCACGGGTCAAATACGCGGTTATTACGTCATAAAAACAAAAAATCGGTGCGCTCATCAACCCTCTGGAGGCCACCTGGGTTACCCTGGCCGCCAATTCTCAGCATCCAATTCTGCTAGAAGATAAATCGTAAACCTAGTTCTGTCACTAACGTAACACGATGTCATATGAAGCGCGGATGACATGAGATCATCGAGATGGAATTTTGGTTTATTTATTATACAAACTAATGTTCCTGATCGGAATTTAATTTTTTATATGTTCCCACGAGTCCCAATTTTTTTTATTTCAGAATCTTACTTCGGAAAACAAAAACACTATGCATTCAACGGTATTGTTTGCCGGATTTCAGTCCAACTTTGATTTCGTTTATTTATTATATCTTCCCCATATTGGAATTTTTTTAAATTTTGATATTTTTTGCATTACAACGATAAAGTCTTGCTCTAGAAAAATAAACGTTAAAGTATGTTTCAAACTGCCGTAAATGACTACCGGAAATCGCATATTTCACCCTAAAATGGTTTTTGCTAATTTATTATATGTTCCCCAAATTAGAATTTTTTTAAATTTTGATATTTTTTGCAATACATTAATAAAGTCTTGCTCTAGAAAAATAATCGTCAAACTATGTTTCAAACTTGCTGTAAATGACTACCGAAAATCGCATATTTCACCCTAAAAATGGTTTTTGCTAATTTAATATATGTTCCCCAAATTTTTTATTTTAAAATTTCGATATTTTTTGCATCACATCAATAAAGTCTTGCTCTAGAAAAATAATCGTTAAAGTATGTTTCAAACTTGCCGTAAATGACTACCGAAAATCGCATATTACACCCTAAAAATGGTTTTTGGTAATTTATTATATGTTCCCCAAATTGGAATTTTTTTAAATTTTGATATTTTTTGCATTACATCAATAAAATCTTGCTCTAGAAAAATAATCGTTAAAGTATGTTTCAAACTTGCCGTAAATGACTACCGAAAATCGCATATTTCACCTTAAAAATGGTTTTTGCTAATTTATTATATGTTCCCCAAATTGGAATCTTTCTAAATTTTGATATTTGTTGCATTACATCAATAAAATCTTGCTCTAGAAAAACAATCGTTAAAGTATGTTTCAAAATTGCCGTAAATGACTACCGAAAATCGCATATTTCACCCCAAAAATGATTTTTGCTAATTCATTATATGTTCCCCAAATTGGAATTTTTTTTAAATTCAAATTATTTTCTGCATTACATCAATAAAGTCTTGCTCTAAAAAAATAATCATTAAAGTATGTTTCAAACTTGCCGTAAATGACTACCGAAAATCCCATATTCACCACAAAAATGGTTTTTGCTAATTTATTATATGTTCCCCAAATTGGAATTTTTTTTGAATTTAGATTATTTTCTGCATTACATCAATAAAGTCTTGCTCTAGAAAAATAATCGTTAAAGTATGTTTCAAACTTGCCGTAAACGACTACCAAAAATAGCATATGTCACCCAAAAATGGTTTTTGCTAATTAATTGTATGATCCCCAAGTTGGAATTTTTTGATGTTGATATTTTTGCGTTATATGCATAGAGTCTTGCTCTAGAAAAATAATTAAAAGCTTTTTAACTTGCAGTAATTTTGCATTTCAACTCTAAAAATCCGGTATTTCCCTGTAAAAAAAAAAAAATTTTCTCATTTTTCATAACGACAAGGTTTTATTACAAAAAAGCATGTAAATTACAAACATTTTTCCCAAATCCACAAGACCTCATCATTCTCTAGTGCGGCGGACGGAATAGGAGAAGATAAACAGGCGGGATGATACCAATCTTTGCATAAGCTGCACTCTTATAAAAAAT